TTTTTGTAGTTTTTAGTAGAGACGGGGTTTCACCATGTTGACCAGGATGGTCTTGATCTCTTGACCTCGTGATCCACCCGCCTCGGCCTCCCAAAGTGCTGGGATTACAGGCTTGAGCAAAAGTCATCTTAAAGAACAGGAGACATGACTAGGATATGGCACAGGAAGGAAAAGCCCAGCACTCACTCCAAGAAATGCAGTACCGGCCAGGCGAGGTGGCTCATGCTGATAATCCTAGCATTTTGGGAGGCCAAGGCGGGCGGATCACAAGGAAACCCTGTCTCTACTAAAAATACAAAAATTAGCTGGGGGTGGTGGCGGGTGCCAGTAATCTCAGCTACTTGGGAAGCTGAGGCAGGAGAATCACTTGAACCTGGGAGGCAAAGGTTGCAGTGAGCCAAGATCAAGTCACTGTACTCCAGCCTGGGTGACAAGAGCAAGACTCTGTCTCCAAAAAAAAAAAAAAAAGGCTGGGTGCAGTGGGTCACGTTTGTAATCCCAGCATTTTGGGAAGCTGAGGTGGGTGGATCACGAGGTCAGGAGTTCAAGACCAGCCTGGCCAAGTGGAGAAACCCCTTCTCTACTAAAAATACAAAAAATTAGCTGGACATGGTGGCAGGCGCCTGTAATCCCGGCTACTGGCGAGGCTGAGGCAGAGAATTGCTTGATCCTGGGAGGTGGAGGTTGCAGTGATCCGAGATGGCACCACTGTACTCCAGTCTGGGCGACAGAGCAAGATTCTGTCTCAAAAAGAAAAAACAAGAAATGCACTACCAACTCCTAGCCAGACACTTGGCCCTTAAGGCTTAAACTTCCCTCCATCCCCTCTTTAATCAGCCTACCTCAAAGGGGCACACTGAAATTGGACTGGAGAGCCATAAGGGCCAATGCAGTATCTGCAAGAATTCTTTAATACAAGTTCTCCTCGGATCCATTCACCTGTTCTACAACTTGATGATCTCAGGTATTGTTTAACAACAAAAGGATGAAACAAATTCGGGGCAGACTTTTAATTAAGGACATCTTCTTGGGTTCTTGCCAGCACACTATTTCAATAAGAAAACAGAACTCCTAATTTGGAGTTGTTTCTGTGCTTTTAAGGCATATCGAGCAATATCAGTGTTATTGTTTCCTATGTGCATGGCCCTGGATACTTTTCAAAATCCTTCATTGTTTCATTTGCTCCTTGTAACAACTTGTGAACATGGAAAGTTATTTTTACCCTCATTTTGTAGGTGAAGAGAACATGGCAGAGATTAATCGGCCTGTGTAGGGTTGAACACTGACTAAAAAAGTCAAAGCTAGAACACAAGTACTCCTGACTCCCAAACCTATGTTCTGTTACTCTGCTCTTTTGCTGAGCTTTCATGGCCGAAGCTCTGGTTTTAGAAGGAGGAAGAGAGACAACTTAGGAGGTTATCTAGACCATTTCCACCCCCTCCCCGCTACCAACAGTCCTATTCAGTTAGCTCCCCAAAACAGAGCAGCTGCCTCTGCCTAGGTAATCCATTCCAGTCTTAACCCAGACTGACTTGGAATCCTATTATCTCCGTGTTGGAAGGGCCCTTAAACGTAATCTAATCCAACCTCCCTTCAGAAGCCTGAATTATTTTCATGTTCTCCTTGGCCTAACCTCACAATTGCCACTGCTCACAATCCAAGGCATTCACCCAGCCTGGGTAAGGAGAGGTAGGGAACAAGCATACATCTGGACAGAGTAAAGAAGAGGTGTAGCTTCCAGTGTACCCATCTGGATAAGACTCACTGAATAGTAGTCTCGGCAAACTCACTCGCTCAACACCTGCACAGGTGCAGCAAGTCACTAAGTGGGAAATGAGACAGGAGCCTTACCTTTCTTCTCTTGTCTTAGCTGCTCCCCTGGAGATCAAGCCCCCATCCAGCACTCCATTTCCAAAACTGAGAATTCCAAATCAGATCCACCAAACAAAGTGCAGCTTCTCTCTTCTTATCCAGGTCCAAAGTCCATGGCTGAGCTGACCCTGAGGAGGAGGAGTCTGGGGGGGGAAGGGGTGTGTCCAGGCCCCTCCCCCCCCACTGCAGGCTTCAGTGCCACTCTCAGGGGTCCGTTATATCCCTTCATTCAGCTGCCTTATTAAGCTCAGAGTCTGGTGATAGATCCCAGATACTATCCCATCTCTTGCTCAGGCAGGGGAAGTTATCCACTGTGAGAACTGGCCCATATGTCTTCTGCTGGGGCTCATGAGAAGAAACAGGTCTTAGAAGCGGCATGGCTCAGGAGGCAGACTTCTGTGTTAACCTGCAGAACATTTAAATATTATAACATTCTCTAATCTAGTATATACCCAAACAGAGTCTTAAAATCTTCTAGTTTCCACTCCCTACCTACATTAAGAGTCGATAGTAGGCTCTATCATCAAAAAACCCTCGTTAAACGCTCCACAAGATTATATAAAACATCTACTTAACTCAGGTATCAAACGCCAGAATAGTCACCTCATCAAGTGTTTATATATAAACATATTATATATATGTACAAACATATGCGTGATTCAGGATAAAATATGGGTCGTACCCATTCTCACCACAGAAAAATTACTGAGGACTGTCTAAGAAATAGAGAAAATAACGCCCTTTCTCCTGCCCTCCCGTCTAAAGCGCAACATAATAAACTCCCAAGCTTCTTCGGGTGCTGTTTTAATTCACCAGCCCTCTTCAACTAGTTAATAAATCATTTCCAGACCGAGATGTTGGCACCTTCCACATGCATTCTTTGCTCCTTTTCCTTCAACCCTCAGTTCCCCCTCTGCTTGCAAAACTATGCCAGAGACATAATTCCCAACCACTGTCAAAGTCCTTCCCAGGGCTAGAGAACACTCTCCTGGAATGTTTAAGGCCCAAGTCCTGCTTGCAGTACCCCCCCGTGTTCCCATTTCTCAGCCCGGAAGCTCACCCCTGTAGCCCCCCTCCCCTCCAAGTTTATTCCAAAACAGACACAGACACAGACAGACAGACAGACAGACACACACACACACACACATACTCTCACACTCACTCTCTTCCACCCCCTCCCTCCTCCTCCCTCCTCCTCCCTCCTCCTCCCTCCTCCTCCCTCCCCCGCTGCCTTCCTGTAGGGGCGTGGCGTCCACATGACCTCCACCCCCTCCAACAATTTAACTCCTCCCACCCTTCTCCCCGGAACCCCGAGCTCCGGGTTCACAGGAGAAGGGGGTGACACCGCGACCCTCCCTGTACTCCGACCCCCACCCGTCCGCCCTGCGGACGACCCTCGCCCTATCCGCGCCGGGTCGTTACCTGGTGCCCAACCGCCCCGTCTCGGCTAGGAGCCTCGGCCCGCCCGGGGTAGCAATCCAGGACCCAGGCCAGATCCCCTACGCCAGCCCAGGCCCCACCCCCTCGACCCCCGGCGGCCCGGCCCTCCCCTCGCACTCCTTCCCCCCTCCCACCATCCACCGCAGCCACTTCCGCCCGTATCCGGAAGTGGGCCAGCGACGACACCTCCCACATCCCGCCAATTTTTCTACCCGCCCCACCCCCACCCCGTCCCCAGCCCGTCACCACCGCCACCACGGGAGCGAGGGAGGTGGCTCGGCCAGGCCTGAGATTGTTCTACAGCCACCGTTCACAGGGCTGAAGAACAGCTGTGGGCAGAACCAGGTTGTGAGAACGAAGTCGGGGCGCAGAGTAGCGGCCGTACAGGAAGGGGCGGGGCAGAAGAGACAGGCCGGCTGCGGGAGCGCGCGGCTGCTGGAGCCGCGCGGGAAGAAGCACGCATGCGTCAGCCCTCTGGGTTCTAGGCGGGGCCTGAGCGGGAGGGGCGGGGCGAGGACCCTGAAATGGGGGCGGAGCCGGTGCGGGGCAACCCTGCCCTCTCCCTCCTCCCAAAGGTCGCCTAGCAACGGCCCGCTAGACCTGGCTGTTCGAAAAGAGCTGTGCTTCCCTGCTTGTTGCGGGTCCTGGCGAGACGGTTTTCAGAAAGTACTGGGGCCTGTGTGTTCCTGCTCCTCGGCTGGGGGCTCTGTGTAGAGTAGTGGAGGAAGACTCTGTTTCGTTCATTGCTGCTGTTTCTCGCTGCCTCTCCTGACGAGACAGGACCCTTGCAGGGTGCGCCCGCGCTGCCCTCGGACAAGTGCTGGCCGGGTACCTGCGGCCGGCCCGCCGGCGGGGGAGCAGCCTAACCGAGGCTGCCGGGAGGAGGGCGGCCTGGCCGGAGCGGCCCTTCCAGTCGTGCCCGGGGCTCCTCGCAGGCAGCCTCCGACTCCTTCAAGCATCCGACTCTTAAGTTCCAAAATTGCCCCGCGGTTTTCCCCCTCACACTGAATCCAAGGGAGCCGCTGCTCGTTTTTGAAGTTCCTGTGCAGCCCTCTCCCGACATTTTCAAGAATCTTGCCAGGACTGGCGATGGATTTGTAGCCTCCGTTTTTGCCCCCCTTTCGAAAACCGGAATCTAGGCCTGGTCTCCTGGCCTGTGTTCCGTCATGGGATTTCTCCAGAGCACGGACTGACTTGACTGGAACATTTCCAGTACTGGGAATGTAATGGTTGCTGCGTCAGGAGTCGTGAAATGATTTTTTTTATTTGGAACAGTATCATAATATTTGGAACTTTCTTAAAGGAAAAAATACATATTGCTTAATTATATATTGCTTGGAATATATTATTCCAAGGAGGAAGAAAATAAGACCCTTTTCTTCCCCTATCTCCAAACCTACTCCGCCCACTTCTGTTTCCCATCAGCATTAATGGCGGCTCGGTTCACTCAAGTCAGAACCAGAAGAGCCAGCCTCACTCTCTCACATTGTCGACACAATCTGATTGGAAACCCTGTTGACTCTGCCTTCAGTCTGTGTCTAGGCTGCATCATCTCAGCATCCACAGCCCGCTTCAACCCTCACCTGAACACCTAGGTCTCCCTGTCCTCCCCACCCTCCCAGTAGCTGTCATTTCCGCACAGCAGCCACGGGAATCCTGGTTTCTTTGCTCCAAACCGCACAGTGGCTTCTTAGTTTCCTTGATATAAAACGCTAAAGTCTACAATGGCCGCGGAGCCGGACAACCCACTGGCCTGCTTAGCTATCTCTGTTAGCTGCACTGGCCTCTGCACTGGCTGTTGTCTACTTGCAAAACTCCTCTTCCAAGCATTTCCAGGATTGACCCATTCAGCTCTTTCAAATCTTTCCTCCCATGTCACCTCAGTGAGGCCTTTCCTGACCAATCTATTCAAACTTGCCCCTGACCCAGAGCACTGCTAGTCTCCCTTGACCTGCTCCACTTTTCCCATGGCACGCATTCACACCTCCTAAAATACTCCCTGTGTTTACCATGTATTGTCTGTCTTCTGCTACTAGAATTTAAGTTCCCTGAGTGGAGGCACGTTTGACTTTTGATTGCCTGCTATATCCCAGGTGCCTACAACAGTTGCCGGGCCTATAGTAGCAGCTCAGCACACATTTGTCGAATAAATGAAGAAATCAATTAACTTGAACAACTATTTTCATTGTATTCTGTTCAGGCTTCTTTCACATGGAAATATATGAACATAGTTATAAGCACAGTATACTGTGATATATATGATTTCTAATGATCATACCGTAGATACTTTACATATTTCTAAGTATTTTCATAATTATAACCATTTTTACTTTTTCATGCTTTCGATTTTTCATGCTTGTTATAACAAGTCAAATGGAGTTGTGTAAACAAAAAATTGTCTCCTGCCCCCCTCTAATCCCACCCTGCTGAAAGGAACCACTGTTTTAAACTAGTGGATGTATTTTTTTTTTTTTTTTTTTGAGACGGAGTTTCACTCATGTTACCCAGGCTGGAGTGCAACGGCACGATCTCGGCTCACCGCA